TGCTGCTACTGCTGCTGCAATTTTTGTTGCCAAAGTTGGCCTAACTGTACTAATAAATGTTTTAAAGGTTTTCGTTCTAATTATTTTACTATTTCTATGACTGCGATTTTCGCTAATTTTTACGGTGGGAGTCGGTAAAGATGAGGCCTCTGCAGTTAGATAATCAGTTCTTAAATCCGAAATGTCAATAAGGCTTTCACTTTCCATTCTTTGTGCGTTGTTCGGAAAAGCTAACTCTTCAAAATTCTTCTGAGTTTCTACGCTCGAAGGCGCTTTAATACCTTGCCATTCTGGTGTTATTATAGTTGTAGTAGTTGTAGATAGGGAGTTTTTTGTTATCTCTGTTTGCTGTTTACTAGAATCATCCGCAATTGTTGATGATGTTGATGAATATAATGCAATTTTGTCCCAAGTTGTTATTTCTGCCGTTGTTTTTATTGTTGTTGTTTTTGAATTTGTATTTTGCTCAGTTAGCGTAAAGTTTTGCTGTTGCTTGTTGCCCTTCACTAATTCATTAACTAAATGTAATTCTTTAGTCAGATCAATTTCACTTGCCGTTCGCAAAGTCGAAGTCACGGTATTCAATGGTGTCGTTGCTGCTATAATTGTCTCATCGCTGCCACTATTGCTGCCTTGTTTTGTAGTAGTCATCATTGTTGTGAGTGCTGTTTTCAAGTCTTGTTTGGTAAAGTTTTCATAGTAAAACCGGTCATTATTGTTTTCATTGCGTATTGTAAGTAACGGTGTCACTGTTTCTGCTGGCGATGTCTCAGTCTCTGTCGCGGTCTCTGCTGTTATTAAATCTTCCATTGTCGTCGTAGTTGTGGTTGCTTGCGCCGGCATTAACTCAACCGGTTCTACTTTCGATTTCTTTAAATCATTATACGGATCTTTCAGCTGTCCAGGCATAAATTCTTTCTTATCCCCTTTCGATGTAGTGGTGGCTATATCCACAGAACTGGATTCAAAATTTGTTGTTTTTATGCTAACACTGCGTATGCAATCGGTTTTTTTCCTATACTTGCCACCAATATCTGCATCACTTTCAATAAATATTGAAGGTAGAGTTGTAATCTCTTCTACATCTAAATTTAAAGAAAAACCATCCTTACTAACATGCACTTGTTCGGTTGTTAGTGATGAATTCAATGTATTCTCTCCGTGTGCAATGATAGTTGAGTGACTTTCACTAGATAACTGAGTATTATTTAAGAGAGGCATAAATGCTTCTTTCCTCAGCATTTCTACGATATCGATTTGCGTTATATCATCATCGACTATGTCATCTTTTTGTTGAGTGTACGGGTCATGTATATTTCGTGATGGCGCGGATGTCTCATCTCCGGTTACCAAATGCACCGAACTATCATCTTCAATGACTGTTCCATTGACGGGATTTTCTTCTTCGCGATTCTCTGTTGGCAAAGCTACGCTATCGGTATTAAGCGATGTCGAGCTGAATGGGTTAACTGCAGAAGTTTGTGTCTCTGATATGTTGCTGGCCTCGCTGCGCAAATCAATTCCCGTTCTCAAGATGCTCCCATTTCGCAAAGTATCTGTTGTGCTACCAAACTGATCTTCGGTTGGGTCGATTGTTGTGCTAGCGGCAGCCTCATTAGATAAATTTAGATAGTCGTCGTTCATATCATAATCGGTCGGAAATTTGCTTTGAAAAATATTAAATTTTAAGGGTTCATCTTGTTTCGTAAGCTTTTGCTCAATAGCATCGGTCGTCGGCTTGTCTAAGCCTTGTCTGCTGTCAATTAATTTTTGCGATGTGGATGATGTTCTTTCCTCTTCTTCTTCCTCAATTAAATCATAATCAAATTCAACCGCTTCTCCGGTATCCCCTACGACCAAAATTAAAACACTCGGATCAATTAATAGAGCGTTCGATCCATTAATAATGGGTATGCATTTTGTATCGACCTTGTGATGACCTTGTTGGCATGGCTTCCTTTGCGGTAACGAGAATATGGATTTCGGTGTTACTTTACGAGATTTAATTTGATTCTTTTGTTCGGGCGGCAGCATTAACCAGGCCTGCCACGCTAAATTTTCCGCCGTACTTTCGATGGGCTTCGATGTTATCGGCAATGCTACGCTTAACATTTTCGTTTGCTCTTTACTGGCTATATCAAGTGTCATTAACACTTGCATAGCCATCAGCAAACGCGCAATTAATTTTGTGGGTGAACTTAACATGGTAACTGATCGGCGACTAGGTTTGTTTGTTTGTTTGTTTGTTCGTTTATTTTTGTTATTGTAAATTGTTGTTACTTATAATATAAATGATTTTATGTTTGCTATATAAGTGCTTTGTGTGCTTTGCGTTTACAGGTTTAGGTGCTAAAGCGCGTATCTTAATGCTGCACCGTAACGCGATATTATTGTGTGGTTAATTATTAGCGTTTCGAGCGAGTATATTTCGTTGTTGTTGTTGCTGTTGTTGCTATTATAGCGAATGGTGTTCTTTATTTATTTATTTATTTTTTTTTGTTGTTCAGCCTGAAGCAGACGTTTTGCACGTCTTTAGATGTATAGCCGATACTGACTGATGCTGATGCTGATGTGTTTTATGAAGAAAAATATCACGAATTATTTAGTGCATGAATCTGTAAATAAAGAGAAAGAGACAAAAGAATTTAAACAAGTAATATAAAAGAAAAAAAAAAAAAAAGGAAAGGAAAGGAAAGGAAAGGAAAAGAAAAGAAAAGCAAACGAAAGGAAAAGGAAAGAAAAGAAATTAAAAGTCTGTATGCTGCTGCTGCTCCTATTTAAGAAAGAAGAACGAGCTAAAACGTATGAGCCATTTTTTCAGTTTTCAAACTTGTCATATTTACTTGTAATATATCATATCTTATGTTCTCTGTTATGTGCGATATTCTGGAAAATGAAATGCAATCTTTTTCGCATGAGATAACATTACTGCCGAGCGCTAGATGCATTAATGCATAGACATATCGAAAGAATCGAAATAACTTTTACTAACTTGCAAACAATTAGATCATGTGATCGTGATTGTGTGCTTATCTTACGATTTACGCAGATCCCTAAACAATTTAGTTATTTTTATGAGCGTAACTCATTTAGCCGTATCCGTGCATGAAGTCTCGATATCCAAAATCAGTTTCAGCAACACATTCTCCATCATTTTGAATTTAAGGAAGAAAACAAAGAAGATCAGAATTTGAATACATTATCCTTAAGATAAATCTTTACTGCACATTATGTCATCACTGCATTGGATAATTGATTCTTGATTGCGTAGGGGAAATACCTATTAGTACTAAGGTGAATGTCTCCGGCAACACTGTATGATAGTCGATAAGTGAGATGAATGCTGACATTGCTAGGAGGTAGCCTAAGTAGGAACGTCACAGTGAAAAAACGGAAATTGAGAACAGCTTTTATGCGTGTGCTTAACATTATTATGCGAATGTGTTGGTTTAAACAAGCAATGCACGAAAATAGCGCAGATGTGCAATATTTTGAACTGCAGTCTGGAAATATTAACCAATAGATATCGTATATTATAGCCTTGAACTCCACATAAGCTCTCTTCTGAAATGATAGAATCTATCTCGTACTTTACCATAGCATTTTAAAGAAATCATCTTTACTGTTTGAAATCGCTACCATTCGATTATTGTGTAGGATGTTAAACGAAATGGATGAACGAAGAATGTTCCGTGGCTACTGTCCATTAATATGTTTATCGAAAGCAGTGTTTTCTCCATTTCGTCTGAGAGTTTCGGCTTGAGAAAGCTGCTTTGCAAATAGTTACCGCATCTACTCTATTCTATGAAGAAATCTAACGTGTCACAAAACGATGGCTACAATGGCAAAATAGAAAGAATTAAAGTTTGAACTGCTGCCGCACTCCACGTATTCTCTATTAACTCTTAAGTGACTCCTAGCGATCACTAAATTGTTTGCAAATCTCAAAGGGATGCGTCAAGGTAAAAGATTGGACGCAAAAATCTCTTCGCTTAAAAAAGCCATCGAAATGTTAAAGAAATGCTGAAATCGTTATATCACTTCTTCATGAACAAAACTCTGTTGTTAAATAAAGTCAAGTTTTGCAAAAAACAAAAAAAGTTTTCTCTACCAATGTATCATAACGCATGCGAGAATGAAGATGAAATGAAAATCGATTAATGAGATTTTCAAAGTGAAAATTGACATGATTTTCAAAATAAACAACTTATTTATGCATATAAGTGCTACTCTATCAGGTTTTATTTTCATTTTCAAAATTACTTTGTCGTGAATTTATTTTCGCAATTTAACGATCACCAGTCAGTTACTGCTGCATTTTTAACTTTCAAATCGAAACTAAAGCGTAAACTAAAGCATAATAAAAGAATTTAATGGGTCTTAAGGGGGAATAGTCGCTTCTCTGATAAGACTGAAAACACAGAAAACTGAAGAAGTGAACACTTGGGAATAGTAGAATTTTAAGGAACACTTTTCACGAATTTCTTCTACTTTCTGATATTAAAAAAAAAATTTCTCTGAAATATTTCGTATCTCGACACTTCTTTGTTTTTTTTTTTTTTTTTTTTTTAAGCAGAGTGTAACCTGTTACCTGCTTTTAAGCCATATTCAAAATATGGTCTCTTGTTATTATTGTCGCCTTGTTACAATGAAAACAAGCCAAAAATTTTGCAGACGTAATTAAATCTGACTATTTAATACCCTGCACTTTAGCAGATAACTTTTAGATAAGATATTTTATCGCATTTTTTATAAGTAGTTCGATAACGCATACATGCACAGCATAACATATCAATCACATCAATTCAAAAGTGAATGAAATACAACGCGTTTTTTTTTTTTTTTTTTTTTATGTAAGTTATTGCCTTTAAGAGAATTTTCCATGTTCGTCAATTCGTAATTTTTCCTGCTTTTATCATAAGATTTTCTATCTAATCAATCAGCCTAATTGTAGAGCAAAAAAAAAAAAAAAAAAAAAAAAAAAAAAAAAAAAAAAAAAAAAAAACGAAAGGTAATTAAACGTAGAAAACTTACAGTTGTTTATTTATAGAATCATGTAACTGTAGTTTTATTATTTTTGTGAAAAACATGCAAGAGGATGAACAAGGTTACATATCGCATAACGAAACAATTCATATAATATGTATACATTGTATATGTACATATATACATATATACATATATACATACATATATACATACATATATGTGCTTATATGTATATATTTAATTGTATATATATACACCGCTACGTATGACTGCTACTTTCTTAAGGGTAAATATCTTGTGTTTCATGTTTAAATAAATCTCGTTTGCTTTATGACAAGATACACAACAAATTTTAAGCATTAAATAAATTAACATTTTTCGTCATCTTAATGAGGGCACTCTATAAACGTATAGAGTGTGCGGCTTATTATCTTTGAAGGATGAAACTCATTGACCGATAAACAATAATTATGAGATTAATTAAGGAAATGTTGGAATGGTTCTTAACATTTTTGATTACATCCAGGACTTTTATTATAATTTGATTGACATATATTGAAATTTTTAATTAAGGATTTGATTGAATATTTGATTGTAAAGTTTTTTTTTTTTTTTTGATATTTTATTATTACAATAAACCGTTATGCAGCAAGAAAAGGAAATGTAGTTCAACGCAAACTATTTCCAATAGCGTTCGTTCTTAGGTCAAAACAGGTCAGTGTAACAAATTTCATCAAAATATCACAAAAATTGGGAACTGCGGGTTAAAGGAAACAGCACGAGACAAAGAGACGGACAGACAAGTTTAGTTTAATTCAAAAAAAGTGATACGCTATGATAAAAGAATGGTCTATCTTATGACTTTCTGGGCGTTACATACATCCGCACAAATGAACAATTTCCTTACATCATAAGTGGTATACGATATAAAAATATTTAAATTAATCTAACTCGAAAAAGAGAAAAAGAGACTATGAAAATGCCTTTCCACGTTCAAATATTCCTTCTCATCCTTTTTCCTCGAAACTTTTATACTTGAGAGTACCTGCACGCATCTGTCTAAGAAAAAGTCGCACATTTCACATATCTTCCGTTTCGGAAGGACAGAGAAAAGGGCCAAAGTATGTATAGTCTAAGAGAGGAATTTATAACCAATACCGTCAGCTTCATTTTATACTTCAAATTTCTTAACGGAAGCGGTTGCTTGCACGCTCTTATCTCCTTAAAGGTGCCCTTGATGAAGCCATCGTGACATATTTTTGCCTGTAAATAAACATAAATAATTTCCGGAGATATCTGATAGTGTATTGGAGAAGTTCGTAACGAACAAGTAAAACGTTCGGCTTTAAGTACCCAGTACGCAGTTGCTGATAGCATGCAAATTGTCTCTTCTGGAGGAAGCTTGAAATTTCAAGGACAAAATTTCCTTAAGGCAATGAATTTCTTTCCACATACTCTAGAGAATTGGAAGCAACGGTTAAGCAAAATGAATTTCTTTTTTGAAAATTGTACGGTGGTATTATTCCTTAAAATAAATGATGAGAAGCCATGTTTTCGTCTAAAATTTTCATTCCCTTTAGTTATTTTGTCATTCCATTATTTCTTATTAGAACTCTCATAGTGCGATAACTATCAAAAGTAAGAATGAAATCAGCGAAAAAAAAAAATTCAAGCTCCCTTACGAGGGGAATCACTGAAGAAATGTTCTCTTAACCATTTTTTCGAATGAAAAAAAAAAAAAAAGAAGAAATTCTACAATGAGAATATTCGAGAAAGTTATATTTAAATGATAAAAAAAATTTTTTTTTTTGAAAAAATTGTATTGAAGATAGCAATAGGAGCTCTGCAGTAAGCAGTGTAACCCGTCCTAATATGAATTTGAAAAAAAAAAAAAAAAAGATCTGCATGTCGTGTCAAACGTATCTATTCTTGTGTCAGTGACGAATACTTGAATAAAAAAGTTGAGAAAAACCCTTCTTCTATCAGTAAACATTGTTTTAAATTAAATCTCCTGCAACCTTGATTGCGCATTGTTGTTTCAGAGATATTGTAGAAGATCCGAATGAGAAAAAACTAGAAAAATTTTTGGAGTTATACCGTTTGCCGTTTTGCAAAAACCATATTTCGGGAAGAATGCCTTTCAGATTTTAGTTTTCCACACACATATGATAATCTGCTATACAGAGCTATAGCCGGATAATCAAATTAAAAATGTTGCTACGTTCATGGTTTCTTTTTTTTCTCTTTTAGGCCAATAAGAAATTAATTGTTTGTAATTTATTTACGAACGTAAAAAACGAAAAGAAAAAAACCTTCGCAAATCAAATTTTTGTTATAAGTAATTGAGCAGAGGTTACTTTGCACATTGCTTTTCTGACTATTTCCGAGAGTTATCTTAAGCTTTGTTTTAAAACTGATCACGATCGGGTTATATAAGCACGTTCGCGTTAAGAGAAAGTTCTGCAGTGCCTAGATGCGAATAAGATTCGTTCACCGAAGGATGAGGAATCTATTCATGCTTTCAAAACGTTTACAATGCCCGGCCGGAATCTTAAGAGACCCCATAGAGTATATACACGTATTCTTCAGATGTTGAATCGATCAGATGTTGAATCGATTTAATCGATGTCTGTCCATCCTTCCGTCTGTCTGTCTGTCTATCTGTCCGAGTAATCTCTGCGGTAAATATTCTCTTGGCCGCAAAAATGCAATTATTGGCAGAAACACTGGGAGATTTTGTGCTTAAGCTAGTATTGAAATTGAACCATATCGGTCAAAGGATACGCCCACAGTACAACAATACCTGAGACCACCTTTATTTTCAGAAACACAAAATAGTCAATCTTTTGCTGATTCCTTATAACCACGATACCTGTTACGGCGATAAATGTTCAGATTTGTAATCTATGGATGGTCCTGCAGCGTCTGAATCGAGATGGGAAAAAAACAAGCCGAGCCTACTCACTCAATATTTGAATATATTAAAATCCTATTCTTTCTTGCAAACGTTTGCAGCACCCAGAGAAAAGCTTCTGAGCACGTACAAAGTCTACATATTATTGATTAATTTCAAATGTGAAAAGATTTTATACATCATCATGTCAGTCCGTCCATACATCTGTCTGTTAATTCCTACGATGAACGTATTCGTGGTCGCAAAAATGGATATATCTGCTCCAGGCACACGATGTAAATTTTCATATTTATGCTGCAAAAATAGAAAAAAAAAAATCCGCCACACCCAGCCAACTTTATAAAGTATACAAAATTTAATTTTTCTTTCTTTCTTTTTTTTTTTCTTTGTGAATCACGGTGAAGGGTAGAAAAGATTCGTTTGCAGGCGATTATGATTTTCTTAATTGTTGTGTTTTTTTGTTTTTTTTTTTTTTTGTTTCTCTTTTGCAATTTACTCAATGAATAGATTTTATATTTGCTTTATATATATATATATATATATATATATGTTATGTAGTAGCGCTTGTGTTAATCAATTACTATTAATATTCATTTATGCTACTATCGTTCGTTTAATCTGTTCGCATAATAAAAGGCTGAGGCAATGCTTATTGTTTTTGTTTTATGACTTCTGCTCTAAATATTAGAGAGCATGTGTTTTGTTAATTTTCATTACATTGAGCTTAATTGTTTTTGTTATGGGAATTAATGAGAATTTGTTAACATATGCAAATAAAGTTATAGAAAATTATGCTAAGATGGAAGGAAGTGCTTACGATATTCAAAAGATTTTAATCAGTTATTAATATTTAGTCAAATTTGATATATATTAACTGAACGAAATTAATTTTAATAAAATCAAATAAACAAATTAGATAAGCAACAATGTTTCTAACAAGATTTCCCATAAGAACTTAATAGGAAAACTGCTTAGATTCAGAGAGCAAAGCTTCAATATTTTATTTACTTTACTGCAATCCCTTGCTCAAGATGACTTATCGAAATTGTTTTTGCTTTTATTTATTTTTGTTTATGACTGTAGACGCATCACGGTCTTTTATGTCGATTTGTAAAATGACAGGTAGAATATATCCATTAAGTTTTAAGTTTCTACGTGCTATGGTGCTACCCCATGGGTCAATATAATGTTTTTCAGTTTTTGAGCTCAAATATAAGAATGTAAAGCATAAATATTAATGCTTGGTTTATCTCCAAAAAAATCTAGCCTTCGATATGCCCGTGGCACATACCTGCTTCTAGCGTTATGGATCATTTTGATCCACAGGTTTGATTGCAAGGTAAGATATGTACATAACTTTTTGTACGCCTCCAGTTAGAAGGACATTGTGAGCCTTCCAAGCCATTTTTGTCGATTTTTCCGAATGTTTCTAAGTCCAACGCGTTATGCAGTAGAAAACTAATACTGCCGTAAGTAAAACGATCTATTCCAAAAGGCCTAAAGTGATAAAAATACTGGAACAACTTGGAATATATATATATATATGCAATAAATTTCCTACAATAGTTCTTGGAATTCGTCTTCGATTTATTGAGAATAGGCTTCCGTTGCAAGCTATACGGTAAGGCATCTTCAAACGGCCTCAAATCTTATCCATCGATTCTAATTCAGCCGAACTTTCTTCTAAAGATCATTTTACCTTGTCGAAGAAGCGAATGATGTGAAGGAAAAAAGGTGAACCATAGATTTTGCCACTATATCTCTGGAATTAAGAATTTTAATTTCCTTAGCCCATTCACGTGTTTGCCGGTGAATATGATTGACATTTTGTAGTTTGACCGCACTAGAGTCTCAAATTCGATTATATTCGCATCTGGCTGGCGATGTTTTCATATTAAATTACTAAATTTTGTAATTGATAATTCGTGCTACCTCATGGAAAAAATAAAAATGAAAATTACTGAATTCACTTAACACATGTGCCTCTTGCACTCTATACTTTACACTGACATACAAAATTTCAAAACGTTGTTAAAAAGTAGTTGAATTCCTTTAGCTTGTTCGGAAAGCATATTACTTTTCTTCACGAAAAATGTGTTAGGTTTTCTAATGTAGGCGGGGGCGGGTTGCAAATCATCAGGCACATTGCTTGATACTAACAAAAATTTGCCTAAGCTTATAAAGCTCCGTTAAGATTATTGATAATTCTGTTTGCCAGTTCTGTTACCTTCACATCCCTTGACTATAATGAATGAGGAATGAATGATCCGACAAATTAACGTTTTTTCCCGCAAAAATTTTCTCGGAATATCGGCTATGTACACACTTTATAAGTTCTCTTTATATCAATTTTTTTCTCGATATTCTCGTCGATGAAGCAAAATGCTCAAAAGTACTTGTCCAGCCATTTTGTAAATTTTGTTTTTTTCCATAGAGAATCAATGAAATAAAAATTTTTCATTAAACAAGTGCTAAAAGTTACGTAAAAAAGAAATTTCAAAAACTTCAAAACGATCAAACATATAAAGAAAAACGTAAAAATAAAAAAAAGATTAGAAAAGCTTGGCTAAAAAAAAAAAAATCACATCTCAGGCTATTGCAATAATGAAGCTGCTGTACGTTAACGTTTAGTTAACCAGTTGCCATCGGTAACAAACAGTTTGGACAGATGAAGGATGAAAAGAGCGAAACAAAGAAAGAATCGGACGACGTGCAAGCGCAAATATTTTCATCACCCATTGTAGTGCCATATTAAAAAGTCAGTGTAAATGCTTATAATTTGATATAAATATATTATAAAATAATTCTATTAAAGGCAAATGTGCAAGAATTTATTTTCGTGATTTTTCAAAAGATTTCAATTTTAATTTTTTTTTTTGTAAAATTTCTACTTATTCCTGGAAAAAAAGTATAAAAAAGACAGAATTGTTTAAAGACCTTTGTACACAGAAATTCAATTTGCTTTAAAGCAAGAAAAAAAAAAAAAAAGAAAAAAATGAAAAGTTAAGCATAAGCACTAAGAATGTAAACGCGTGCCGAATTCACAAGAAAATTTCTACACAAATAAAAAATAACAAAGAAATTATATTCGATTTGAGTCGAATATTTTTGCAATACTTACATATATTTAATCGTGATGCGACAACTGGCTACGAAGTAAAGGGAAAATCGACAAGTATATACCTTCTCCGAAGTCTCCGAAATCTATTCCATTGCGTTGCCAAGCAGCAGATAGATCCAATTTATCCCTTTATGCCCTTTCTGGGTATGAGAGTTAACGTGACGTCTGCATATCCATTACTCCAAACTATAAAAATAATCAAAATTGGAAAATAAATCAATAATTTCAAGCATATCGTGACATAACATGATTGATTGTTTGAGGGCAATTTTGCATCAAAATTTCAGAGCTAAATGACAGAAATGCAATAGATTTTATATATATATCTTATGTTCTTGAGAGTAATGTTAAAAATTTTAATTTTTCAACGATATATTGCTTTTTATAAATAGATATTTTTTTTTTTAAGACGACGAACAATGTACTTTCCCGGCTTTACTTAATAGAACTAAAGTACGAGAATATGTGGTAAGTTTTAGTTTTTTATCTTAAAGAAAAGAGCATATCGATCTGCAGATATCTATATTCGTGCAATCAGCTTGCAATGTTTGTGCTATTCAAAATTATACAATTTACAAGACAGGTTATAAAGAGAACGACAAAACTAGTATAACAATATTTATATTATAGTAGGTGTAAAAAATAAATTCATTCATTATGATGTGTCTGTGTATGGTTCTTCCACACATATAGTCGTAAGCTAATTTATGAATAGAAACACCAAACAGAATTTAAATACAATAAAGAACAACAAAAGTTAGCAATAACAACAAAAAATAAAAATAACAACAATAATCGCAACGAAAATGCATAATTTCTTAACAATTTAAGTATGTTTACTCCCATAGGTTCAATAACTTATTTACCGCATATGGCAAATATTTGTATTTATATTTCAGAGGCTGATGAAATCTGTTGCCTTTTTTTCAGTATCAGATTATCTCGTATGTAAATAAAATTATTTTAACATAGAGTTATCTGCACACATACTCGCATATGTATCAAATACACCAAATTCTTTTTTTACACGGTATAAACGGTCCTTTACAAACCGTGCAAACAATAACGTGTAAAAAATGCATGCAATATATGGTAAATTTGGGAATATATTCCGCAATTTTAAAGAATGTTAAAAAATTATGAATTCCAAATAAATTCCCAAAAAAAACGTGCAAAAAAAAAAAAAAAAAAAATTAATAATGAAATCCATAGAATATATTTGTCAAACCAAAACAATTCATTTTTATTACAAAGAATAAATTAGACCTGATGTACGGTGAAAATTCAGTGCATAGGTACAACATATACAAAAGTGAAATTGCAAATAAATTGAAAATTGATAACAAGCGTTCTCGCTTATTACGCACTAGACCCTCAACAAATGAATATCAACTTTTCGAATTCTTTTGCATTAAACGAGTTGAACTTTCTAACACAAAATAAATAGTGAATAAGGAAACAATACGTTCAAGTTGGCGTATGACGAGATAACGAAGAACCTGATCATAAATATCGAATACTTTCGGTGGTAGATCAAGTCACTAACCAAGACAAAGTTTGAGTTGGAAAAAGAAGTTCGTTTTGGGATTCGCGGTAAAACCAAAAATTCATATAAAAAGTGAATTTATTCTTAATGTTGAATCGTGTTATTTCAAAATCGGGTAAAAAATGTGTTACGTGTAAATAAAAAAAAGTCTTGAACCTTTGATAGGTAAAAATTCATATATCTTATGAAACCTCTGCATTATTAATTCATTTTTATTTTCCCTTCCACCTACAGCTAACTCCATAATTAAAATTATGCCCGCGATATATAGTAGTTGAGAGCAAAACAAAACAAAACGAATATAAAAATTTTAATTTTAAATATAAAGCCCAGTGTAACTCGGCATAAAAATTGCTATAAGAGACACGACGTCAACACATAATCGGCATAACAGTCGGAAGGGTTAAGCCCCTACTCATGTATACTGTTACTTATACACTGGCTTAGCAGTTTTAGCGGTTTACGGCCTCACAATAACAAATTTTTTCATGGCGTCAAGGTCTAATTTGAAAGCCAATGCAAAATCTTTCACACATAAGTTAGGAAGTTGACGTGATGGGGGCTGATGTGTATGTGGAAATCAAACATTTACATAAAAATGGTGTACGAAAATGAGTGAATGACTGCTTTAGGTGAAGTGGAGTAGACTTTGCCGCGCTATATAGCGTTCTCTCTGTGCATAAAGTCAATCGTGAGTATATGTTCAACACGAAGGCGATCACAAGCATTTCTCACTCTTGGTCTTTCTATTTGATCGATTAAAAATCTTTAACCTTAAGTAGGAATTCCTAAAAATTTTTCCAATAATCGATTGGATGATTACTCAGGTCTTTCTAATAAATCAAAGCTTAAAAGTGAATATAGTCAGGTGCTGTTGGAAGTGTTGTAATGTTGTTGACAATTAAATAAGAAAGAAATTGTTTTGTTTCAATAAATTCAATAAATTATGATAAAAACATCAAATAACTGGTATATCGAGGTTACATAAATTTACAATAAATATATATATAAATGTGTGCGTACGTTGTATTATATAAATCAAGTATTATCAAATATTTTAATGACGCAAATAAAGTAAAATAGTTGTGCACACGCTTTATAAAAACCTTGAATTTCTTATCAGTGCCCATATAGCTATCAACGGACATAAACAAAACTTATAATTTCTTTTTGAGCCGCTTCGCGGAACAATGCAAGCTCATTCAATGGTTTTACTTGCCCATCATGTAAACAGTTAAAGGCGATTAAATCGAAAGTATCGGGGAAGACATAATTTTCCATTTGCAATCATAAAGTGCAAGAAATTGATTGGATCCGCTAGCAAGCTTTAAGGCGCGGTATAAGAACACTTCCTTCAAGAATTCATTGTAAACGAAAAGAGGTTTCAAAGATTCGCCGCAAAGCGAATAAAGAAAAAACGATTGTTACTTGCTGTCCCTCATGCCAGTTGGCTGATGTAAGGCTTGTTCTTTATTTTTTTTTTTGTTTTTTTATTTATTTCTGGCGCCTTTTTTCAAAATTATTACCATCAGCTGGTCTCTATCAAAACGAGCTACCCAAAAATGGGAAACGATTAACTTATTCACGAATCATTATTGTCAGTTGGAATATTATTTAAGTGCAAGATCAATATGCGGTTGCATGCGTAAATGGAAAGAGATCTTTTTACGCGACAATATCTCTATAGCTGCCTATCGATGCTAGACGAAAAGTAATGTTGTGGGAGGCTTATAGTGTGGCTAAGATATATCCATTTTCTTACAAATGCTTTGCTTTCTGGAACATTCCACTTGATTTTATTAAATGACAGATTTTGGGAGAAATCACTTAAGATCGTACATTCATTGAACAACGAATAATGAAAAGTATTTGACACATTCTGAAGTACATGTCATAAGTGAAGAGATATTTTCTTTATTTTGTAAATTTAACACTTTCTCGCAAAGCAATTTTCTTTTTTCTCTTTTTTTTTTTTATATATATTTATTTATTTATTTATTTATTATTTTTTTGATTTAAATTTTATTCCGATTTATACAATATTAAAAACACATCTAAAATGTACGAAATCTGTATACAGACTGACCGATCTACATGTTTGAAAATATTTATAATTTAGAATGAAATGAAAATCAAAATCGAAACCGTACCAGCTACTAATGAGTAGATGTTAAAAAAAATGAAGAGTAAAATATGAAAAGGAAAGAAAGAAGCGAGCTATACTACCATCGCTTATACACACAGTTTGCGCAGAGGAAGAATTATACCCGAATCTAAGGAAAAACAAAACGGCATAGCCCACCAACACCGAGACTGCACACAAGAAACAAAACAAAACTCAAGAAAACATTAATAACGAAATTTTCTTATGATAACATAACGAAGAAATTCCAAATACAAATAATGTATTGTTCCTTGCTATGCTAAACATAAAAATTATGTACAATGAGATAAACTAAAAACAAAAAAACACAAAAAAAAAAAAAAAACACCATACTTCGTTCTAACACATGGCTCGCCCGGTAAGGTTTGCCTTCTCTAGTTCTTAATGCGGGCATAAATGGTTTGTTCTTCTTGGGTTCATTGTATGTTAGTCGCTCTATTGTAAAGTCATGCTCAAATGCAGACGCAATTTAGATTTGACTGGAATTTGTAGGTAAAGAAAAAGGTACCTGCTTTGAACCTGCTATGCACCTCTATTTTTTCTTCCTATTTTTGTTTTTTTGTTTTTTTTTGTTTTTGGGAGGGGGTTTTCTTTTAACACACGGGAATTGTTTCTTACTATGGTAAGGTAAGAAGAACAAAAAGTATTTAGTTATAATTAAAAAAAAAAAAAAATATTTGTATATATGTATATATATATATATATATGTTTAAATATATAAGTAGACTTGTGATGAATATGCGTTTTCTTGTTGATATAGAAAACTCTCCGTAACGCACGGATTGGTTTTTCCACCTTGCATTGAAATCGGATTTTTTCATTTTCTGCCTTTTATCAGTTTTGAAAGAAAGTCCATAAAAGCACGCATACACGTGCTCACTGTCTAATGTAATCAAAAAATAAGTCGAATGTGCGCATAAAAAGGGAAAATATTTATTATGATCTTAATCGCCTTCAAAGTACCTCCGTCCTGCATAATGCGCCGTTACGCCAGTGAGAATAGGCTTAAAATACTTTCTTCGATTCGGTCTGTCTTAATCTCGCCTCAATTGAGGCGAAACGGTATCTCTGAACCAGTCCTTTGAGTCTGATATGGAGTCGCGGCTTCTTGGCGATATATATTACCGAAGAAACAATGCCGTATAGGACAAGGTTTTATTATCGCGGTGCAAGTACCAAGAATTGTTTGGCCATAGTCGCGGCCTCTTGAAGCGTGTTGCATCGCGCACACTACCCGTAATATTCAAAGAGTATCCAGAAGGAAAAATAAGTTTAGAATGCACAATGTCGCGATAGTGGAAGAAAACTGCCCGCTCATAGACTTGATTTTCGAGTGACCCTGGCGCTGACTTTTTCGGTCTTGGTGCACCTTTGGCCCGTTTCGGGTTGCAATGCAAACGAAAAGCCTAGAGTATCCGCAGGATTCTTAATTTTGAATCGACGACTTCGAGTACCAAATCTTTGATTTTCTCGACG